CTGGCTTGGGGCAGGACCCACCTCCTCTACCCTGCACTAGCAAGAGGCTTTGCTCTCTTGTTCCTGTCAGCTTGCAGAATATTCTTGAAAAACCACCAAGTGCAGGAGCCCACAAGGGCTTCTGAATTGGCGAGAACTTTGCATGGGCTACAGAGAAATAAATGCTGCGCTTGCTCACTGCAGCTCTGGGCCTCCCGCAGTCTGCTGTGCCCGGCCCCGCTCCGCTCAGGGTAGGACTCCCACAGTCTGCTGTTGGAAATATTAAAAAAAATTAAAAAATGCATTTAGAGTATACTCTAAAGAGCACAAAACCAAAGGTGCAGCCTAGTTCCAGCCCATTGCAGGTCCGTAGAGATCCAACAGCTCAATCCCACCTTCCTACAGCTCCGAGCCAGCCCTCGCGTGGGATTCGAGCAGTGCTGGACCATTTTTCCCTCTGCTTTTGCAGAGGCCGGGGCGATTTGCAGGACCTGACTTCCCCGCCCCGGCACTGCCCCAGGGACAGAGAGCATTTCCAGTTTAGGAGAGCTCTTGCAGGGCTGCGAGCGGGGCGGCAGCTGGGATGTTAAACGGGGTGTTAGCAGCTCGAAGCGACGGGCGGGAGGGAACCGCTCAAGGTACACACACTGTTCGGGCTGCGTTTTGGAAGGAGTCTGCTCCTCTTCCTCCTCCGAAGCAGCCGTTAAGCCATGATACCTGGCAAGTGTGGTCCTGCCACCCTCTTCCCCCCCCACCACAGAAGCCCCCAGCCCCGGGGGCCGGCGGGGTTTGGGAAGGCTTGCACGCTGCGAGCTGCCCCTCCAAGGAAAGAAAGCACCTGCAGGCACAGAAATAGGTAAAACTCATTTTTGGGACGGTTTGCACGCTGCGAGCTGCCCCTCCAAGGAAAGAAAGCACCTGCAGGCACAGAAATAGGTAAAACTCATTTTTGGGACCCGTTTTCCCCACCACTGAGCTCTGTCTGCAGGGAACGGCTGCAGGGTGCGGAGGGGGACAGGTTGGGGAGGGGTACGTGCTTGCAAAAGCACGCAGCCCCCCCTTTTCCCACTGTCTTTTAGCCAGCAGCACCGGCCCTCCCACCTCTCCTTCACCTGACAGAGACACTCGCCGCGACACAATCCCTCCCTGGCATTACTCAGGGAAAAAGGGGGGGGGGGAAAAAACCCACCCAACCCACATTTTTTGTTAGCGTTCAGCAGTGATATGACAGGCGCCCTATGAATTCTGGGAGATTTTAATAAAGAAGACAGGCCTGTGAAATTTAATAAAAGAGTTCATCAGATTATATGGTGATGGCTCAGTGCCACCGTGCTGGCAGTAATATCCTCGCAGTGGGGGGTTTAACCCCTTGAGGGACAGAGCAGCAGCACAGTATTAAATCTTTCAGTAGCATTTCACTCGTGTCACTTTAATATTTATGAATCTCTCTGGCTTTGGGAACCTCTTTGGTGTTGTTTTGCTTTTCTGTTTTGCTTGTGGTTTAGGTTTTCGGCAGCGGTAGTGGTTGGGGTTTTGTTTTTTTTTTTTTTCTTTTTCAGCCTCCGTTTTCATCGCTGACATGCACAGAATGAAGCCCAGGGAGCAGAGCGTGTAACACCTCTTACCTTCTGGGTGGATGCCAGGGGCATTTACAGGGTCCAGTCAAGCAGGACCACACTTGGGAGATGCAGTTCTTTCGGCTACTTTTTCTAATCAAGTGCAATTACATTAAACGCTGCTCGCGGTGCTAGATGCCAAACTCTGGGGAGATCTCTTTGCTGCACGCTCCGTCCCAAAATCCTTCCATTCTCCCCGACCGTGGTGCTGCCCTCTTGTATTTCCAGGGATGGGTAGAGCAGGTCGGGTCACTCCCTCTGTGCGACTGCGAAGATGCAACAGCAGTCGTGCCACGGTGGCTCTTGGACTCCCACCCCATCCTTCTGCCTTTTAGTGAAACATTTAAGCGAGATGACTAACACCTGTTGTTTTAAATTTGTTTTCCCGCTCCTCAGGGGTGAGCTTTGCACGCAGCAGGCAGTTTGGTTTTGGTAAGCTTTGACTTCTGAAGACTTCTTTTCTGGTGTACACGCTCACATTAGAGGAGGTCCGAGTCTGTTTGAGTCTTGGCCGTTTCTGGCAAGAGGCACAATCACATAATTACAATTGCAAAGTGCCTTTCTGGGGGTAAAGCTGTTCATGTAACCCACAAAGAGCTTTGGAAGGAACGGAGAGCAAAGGTAGATGTTGCCCTCAAATTACTTCTCTCTTTGACCCAAACGTTGCTGGAAGAAGTCAGAAATTAAGCAGAAGGAAATTTTTTCCCCTTAATCCCCTGGTGCCACTCTGTATCGCTGAATTGGGGGAAATGGCTGTTGCGGTAGGGAATGAAAGAGCATATTGTGCTGCTGCCGCCTCCTCATTTCCCTTGTGTGTCCCCTTCCCCATCACGCCCCTAGCCCCCAGCCCGAAATCTGGAAAGAGGCTTTGCAAGTTCCACTTCAATATTTCAGACGGCTACAATGGATTTTGCAGCTCAATGTTAAGTAAACAGACCTTGCTTAAGCCAGGACTGCTTCATTTTGACTAAACCCTAACTAAATAAGCTAGTTTCATGAAGCGCGGGCCTCCCAGCTTATTCCTTGCTTCATTAACACCTTTTAATCCCGTCGAGACAATCATATGGCCCCCGAATTACCCTTCCCAGGCCTGGGTCAGCATCTTCTCCGTGCCATGGCAGGTCAGAGAGGTTCTCAAATAACTTGCTGCTCAGCTCATCCCCATCTGCAGAGCTGGGAGCTGAGCTGCCTCTTCTCCTCCAGAGCCATCGGCAGAGCGAGCGGTGCCAGGGGTGATCTGCAAGGGTTAACGGAGAGTTAGGCTCTGGGGTGTTTGGCCGGGACTAAAGCGTGATAAATGAAGTCCATGAAATGTCTGAAAAGATGTAGGGAGACCGCCGAGCTCCGCAGCCGCGTGCAGAAGCCGGCCGGCCGGATGCACGTGGTCGCTTTGCTGCGATTCCTCTTCCCGCTGCTCCACGCTTTGAAACTTTATTGAACTTCTCCCGGGGGGCGGAGGAGGGATTAATTACATGCTGGGCGCTCCCCAACTCTTTTGTTATTAAAGTAAATTGTTAATGGTAAAAAAGAGACAGTGGAGCTGTAGGTAGGGTGAGGGTATCACATAATGGAATTGGTTTTCAAAGAGTATGGAACTCCTTGTTCCAAATCTTGGTTGGGACCGAGATTTCAGCACGCCTCAAGAACTTGCCGTAGCGGCCAGGCAAAAAGAGAAATAGCATTGGGACTTTCGGGGCGTTGCTGCCTGTGTCCTGCAGGTCTTTTCCAGCAGATGTGCCAGCCATGTGGCCCCGGAGCCGGCCCCAAACACCTCCTGGCAGGAGGAGTGTGGGCACGCAGCGGGTCTGGCCTCCAGCCCAGCATCAAAGCTCTCCAAAGAGGCCGCGTTATCTTCCTCCTTGCGTGGGTGACACGCGCTGTCTCCGAGTTGGCAAACGGTACCGAGGTGCTTGCCCGCTGTCAGGCGGCTGCCAGGCTGTTTGTCCGCCCGCAGCGCCGGTCCTCCCGCCTCGAGGGACCATCAGGGTGAAGAACCGGCTGCCAAAACCCGGCCCCGTAGCCCCAAACCTCTCTCGTGAGGCGACTCGTGAGTAACCATCCCGCTTGCCCCAGAGCCTCTGCAATTCCCAGCGATGCTCCCGCTCATAAGCCCATCTGCCCTCCTGCTGCCGACACTTCTCCCATCAAGGTGAGCCCTCCCCGGCAGGAAAATCAAATTCTATCATTTGCAAAGGTAATTAACTTGAGGCAAGCTGGTAAGAAGGACGTGGGACATGCACCTGCCTCTGCTTGCTGGATGGTTTCTGGATATTCCCAGGAATAAAAGTTGATAGCCTTCGCGCATCTCCCCTAAGGAAATCTTGATCAGAAATCAAACTCAGTTGGAATTTTGAGGAAACAAGGGTGTTAAGGAAGGACATGGGGAGACTTGGTCAAAATACAGGTGGAGGCACGGGGACTGTGAGGCTCAGGCAGCATCGGGGCCTTTCCAAAAGATGTGGGAAACAGTTATCGCGAGTTACAGGCGCTCGGAAGCGGTCCTGCCGCCGCCGAGGCTCTTCTCTTCTCCGGGAGCACGCAGAGATCTCGCTCGCGTCGCGCTTGCTCCCAAATGCACTTTTCATGACGAACCTGGGAACCTGCTTCTTTTTCGGACTGTCCCTCCGCATCGTTTCTGCGGGCAGCCGCTTCCAGACGTCGTGTAGCCACGGCCGCAGCGCAGCCTCCCGAGCCTCCTCGCAACCCACTGCCAGCAACGGAGATGTGTTTTGTTCCTATGGCAACCCAAACAATATTACCTTGACTTAAACGGATTCAGGCAATATTAAAACCAGCCTCTTTAGGAATTCCTGGTGTTGGAGGGGCTGAGAATTTTAATTTTGTGTAATGCGAGCTGACACCGTGTTTATGAGCTGCTTGCTGAATGTTTTCTTCAATTAGTACAAAGCAGAGCGGATTTGTTTTCAGGGCTTAGCTGGGAGATGGGAGGGTGCGGGCCTTGCGATGCCAAAAGCGTGATTGAGTTACGCTGCAGTAACGGCGCTTCCCTCACCTGAGAGCTGCAAAAAAAAAGCCCTTTTCATGGAAATCTGGCACACGACAGCATCTTTAAATAAGGCTTGCTAACTGCCTCGTCCCAACAGCAGCGGGAGGAACCGGCTTGGTGCCTTGCGGGTCAATAGGGCTCCTTTCCCACCTCGGACATCTCTTTCCACATTTCCTTGTTCTGCTCTGTCCCTCTCGCCATCAGCCCGCCCGCACTTCGAGGCACATCACGCTCAAAGCTTCCCTCTACCTGCCTTGGCTAAGCAAAAAAAAAAAAAAAAAAAAAAAAAAAAATCATCTAGGCATTTTCCACAAGCAGCCAGTGATATCACAGAGGCTAGAAATATAAAAGGACCCAGGGAATGTCCAGTATCTATACGGATAAAAATAATTAAGAAACCACAAGTGTGAAGCAAGACGGGGAGTTTTCCATCAGGGTTTTCCTAAACTACCCAGTTCCTTACTTGGAGTCAGGTAGGGATATTGAAGTAAAGCTTTGTTTGTCAGGTCTATGTTCTTAACGTGTCTGTCCCTGGATTTGGGGCTTTGGGGCAGAACCAGCTTGGCCTGGGTGTGTTGCAGGAGGAAATCTGTCTCTAAAAGATACGGTAAAACCAGATGGGAGCTTGGGGCTAGCTCAAAGTCTAACTGATCTCAAAGTCAAATGATATTTGTGTCACTAGATTGAGCTACATGACAGCATATAGCGAAGCCAGGCGGATCTGTCTTTGGGGACAGTAATTCTCCCAGCTGAGATGCAAAGGAAAGTCAGTACTCCCTCTTAAACCACTTGTTTGAAGGATAAGGGACAGAAACCTGGAAAGAGGAATAGTCTGATTACCCGCAACTGGCATATCTAATTATAAGCTGTTCCCCAGAAGATAAAGAGATAGCAAAGTCCAGTTGCTGGGCATGGAATAAAGTAAGATTCAGAGTGGAAATAAGGAATGAGGAGGTAGCCAGCCTCTGGAGCCTCTTCCCAAGGGATGTGGACAGACCCTGGCTGCCCTTCGCCGCACGCCCACCACCAGTGAACCCCCCCAGAGCTGGGACTCCCTGGGCGAGTCTCTGGGTTGCAGTGAACACAGGGTCGGACTAGATCACCCTGATCTTCCATCTGGGCTTAAAATCCAAGAACATTAGTAACTTAATGCTTAGTAGCCTGTCATATGGTCTTGACTGATCCCAGATAGCCATGATCATGGACTGGCTCTACTGTTGGGTCTTTTTTTTCTTTTTACTATTTAATTTCTGCTGTAACAGAAGGATGTTGGCGTTAGGAAAGGGACAGATTTGGACTCGGCCCAGATTTGGACTGGGATTGCGCCTGGAACACGCTCCTAGTTTGCTCCTTCGTTAAGACAGTGAGAGGTTGTGGTTAAAAGGCTGCTCTTCACTCCCAGCTTTTTCAGCTCAAATTCAACTATTATTTTTTCAAGTGTGAATTACAGAAAGACAAAGAGGAAGAGGGGAGAGAGAGAGACGGGGAGGGAGAGGGGAACATGCATGCAAACACACTCACACAAAGGAGAGAGAAATCCCACACCATTCCAGTTGGAATGTCCCAGACACTTCAGCCGAAAGCCACCGCACAGCACAAATCCATGGTGGTATTTGGAAGGGATGAGCCCACCCCTGTAAGCCTCTTCATCCTGCTCCACAGAGTTTGCCAGGAGGATTAACCCAGTCTTGTTCTCAATCCCAGTTTATGAGTTCCCTGCTGGTGGGGAAGATCCTGTGTGTTTAAACAACAGCCTAATTAATCCCTATTTTATTACTTTCTCTTGTCAAGTGGCTAAATAGAAGCTGTCAGCCGGCAGCCACCACCGCTCACATTTGTTTAGATCCCAAATTACTTCATCAGAACCATCTGCTCTGTACGCGGGGCGCTCAGCAGTTGTTTATTTCTCTCTCTGGACACGGCGTGGGGCACAAACAGCCTCCCCCATGGGAATCCTGGTGTAAGGCTCCTCCGGGCCCTGGGGACGGTCCTGGAGTAAAAGTCCTCTCACTAGTGAACAGCCCCAGAGAGGAAGAGGAGGCACGGATCTCCGTCCTGATGGGCCAGGCAAGTTGGTGTTCCCCCCTGGTACCACGGAGGGTCAGAAAAGCCCCAAAATACAACCGGGATGTACACTTCTTGCCGGGATGTGCCGGCACAGCTCCAAACATCCACCCCCTTCCTTCTTCCCTTGGCTTCCTGAGCCCCAACCCGGGGCTGATCTTCCCCGTCCGAGCGTCTGAGCCCCAGCCCCGTGTCTAACCCCGCCCGAGGGTCTAACCACCGGCACCTCTTTGCAGGCTGTTCCAGACCAAGTGCAGCAGTTGCCTGAAGGCGATCGCCCCGTCCGAGCTCATCATGAGGGTGCTGGAGAACGTCTACCACGTCCACTGCTTCTACTGCTGCGAGTGCGAGCGGCGCCTGCAGCGGGGGGACGAGTTTGTGCTCAAAGAGGGGCAGCTGCTGTGCCGCAGCGACTACGAGAAGGAGAAGGAGATGCTGAGCGCCATCAGCCCTGCGCCCACCGAGTCCGGTGAGGGGCCGGGGCTGGAGCCGCGCGGAGGGTGGGGAGCCAGGGTGAACCTTGTGGAGGGCACGTGCCCTAATTAGCGATGGGGAAGAGGGCGGGTGCTGCTTCATCCCTAATTAACGATGGGGCGGGCTGCAGAGGGAGGAGAGGTAGGGAGGTGGAGGTTTTGGCATCTTTTCCCCCCGGCGATAGGCAGCCGAGGGGGTACCAGGCTGCTGAGATCTACTCGGCCGATCTGGAGAGGTTGGGATGGGTCGAGGCATCACCGACGGCGCGAGGCGGGGCCAGGCTGGCCCTCTGAATTGGCAGCGCTCCCCTGAGCTCTCCCGGCTTCGCGCTGCTCCCCTGCTCCAAACGGCGCCTCGGAAGGCGCCGAGCTCCGAGGAGTCCCGCTGAACCCTCGCCCTGGGAGGTGGCCCAGCGAGGCTGCGCTCCGCTGAATCACCGCTACCCGTCTCCCGTTGCAGTGAAAAGCGAGGATGAAGACGGCAGCCACCCGCACGGCAAAGGCAGCGAGGAGAGCAAAGACCACAAGCGCTCCAAGCGCCCGCGCACCATCCTGACCACCCAGCAGCGGCGGGCATTCAAGGCCTCCTTCGAGGTTTCCTCAAAACCTTGCAGAAAGGTATAAGGGAGGCCACCACGCCTTGGCTCGGATCCTCTTAAGCGCAACTGAAATTCTGATTCAGCTCTCCGGGTTTTGTGGACAGGTGAGAGAGACCCTGGCAGCTGAGACGGGCTTGACTGTGCGGGTGGTACAGGTCTGGTTCCAGAACCAAAGAGCCAAGGTGAGTGTTGGTTCCCGCGCCGCAGCTGGGTTCTGCGTACCCGTGGGACATCACACACGCTCGTTCAGCTAAAAGGAAACGTAGAATAGTTTAGGAAAATTAAAAACGGTTAGAAGAACAGCTCTGCAGGACCAAACCACAAGCCCACCTAGTCCTACAGGCTGCTATCTAGCAGTAGCAAAAGCTTAAAGAGAAATCCAACAATTGATTCCTCATAGACGTTCGCAGGGCTTAACAGTTTTCACCTTGGGTTTGTTGTTTTTTTTTTTTTATTACTCTCTTTCTCCTTGCTTTTTCCCCCTCACTTTAGAAAGACTGGAATGATTTCCCGCTTCTCTCTTCTAGAAGTTGAAACGTTTCTAATTTTGCAGAATTTCAAGGGTGCAAAGAGAAAATGCGTGGCTTTGGAAAAAACCTCACTTTGTGGTAAAACAAACCCTTTGGATTTTAAACTGCAAGTGGCACCTCCCGCAGAGATAACACAGCCTTTTCTGCCAGCCCTATTTCCCCCGCAGGGCTGACTGCAGAGGAGTCACCCAGAGGAGTCTGAGCAGGGTTGTAGCAGGGCAGTGCCCGGTCTCTGAGAAAGGCAGGCGGCCGTGGCCGCTGCTGTGTTAAACACAAATTCCCCTCCTCTCAGTCAGAACCTCAAACCCCGGGGTCTCCGTCTCCTTGCAGATGAAGAAGATCGCCCGCAGGCAACAGCAGCAGCAGCAGCAACAACAGGAGCAAGACCAGCTGGGCAACCCCCGCTTAGGGGCTGGGCGAGGGACCGGTCGCAGCAGCCGGCAGAGCAACGACGACAGCGAAGGTGAGGAGCCGCGGCGGGCGGTGGCAGCGCGGGCGATCGGCTCGGGTGCGTTTGAGGGAGAACGCGGGCGGGAGGGCATTAGCAGAAAGCACGCGGGTCGCAGCCGGATTGGTAGGTACACACTGGGGTAACTCGGCAATAGCAAGGCTCCTGGGTTCCTCGTGGCGCAGCGCGCGCCTCCTCTTTTTGAGAGAGGCTGGGGTTTTTCTGCTGCACGTACGCACCAGTCCCGGGTGGTGCTGGACCACCAGACACCGCTGCAGCAGTGGCAGATAACGTTATTTCCCCGCTGCGTGCCGCGCGCCCTTTGCTCCAACCCATCCCACCGGTTGTGTCTTTAGACGGCGCGAGCGTTCACGGCCTGGATGGGCTCATGGTCCCCTACCCCCGGATCCCCCAGCAGCAGCTGCTGCCCCTGGACCAGAACGGCTACAGCACAGATTTGTACAGACAAGGGCTGACGCCGCCCCAACTGCCGGGGGACCACCTGCACCCCTACGGTAGGAGAGCGGCGGGGAGATTGTCCTGTCTCTGCACCGAAGCTGCGCGTGGCAGCCCGAGTCACGATACAGCCAACTCTGCTGTGACGAAGCCAGCAGCAGTGAGCGCTCCACGGGGCTTGGACTTTGGGCCGAGCCTTTCTCAGCAGCTTGGGGAGGCCAGAGCCCCAGACTGAGCTCTGCTAGGGGCCAGGGAGCGAGGCTGGGGTTTTTCCGCCATCCGACGTCAAGTATTTGGGTGAGGGAGGAAAGAGTTACACCGAAAGCTGGTCCTGTGTGTGGGGCTCACCTCATACCAGCCCTGCTGACCGCTGCTCCAGGTGAAACGTGGCCCTGCCGTCACCCTTTTTCCGCGCTGCAGCTCCCCGTGAGACACAACCATGCCACATTCCCACTCCTTTCCTTTTCCTTCCTCTTCTAGACTCAGAAGGAGTTTTTCACGATATGGACAGTGAGAGCATCAGCCACCTGGGAGACTGCCTGCTCTCAACGGCCGAAGCCAACCTCCTCCAAGCCCGCGTGGGCAACCCCATTGACCGACTCTACTCCATGCAGAGCTCCTACTTCACATCCTGACCATAGAAAAGCTCCCAGCTCTTCACGAGTATCTCGGATGGATGCTGCTTCAAATTCAGAACAAGGGTGAGGGGGAAGAAACAAGACTGAGACCTTCAGAGACATTCCTCGAGCACTGCACGACGGAGGAGGCATTTAGGTCCACCACACGTATAAGCACTAATTCACGGAGACCTTTCACAGCCTGAAGGACTTTGGATCGCCTCTCTCCTTTTTTCTAGCCACGAGTAGATCGACGGTATGATGTTGTTTAGCTGTAACTTTAGCAGTTTGTCCAGTGTTTAAGCTTTTTGAGCATTATGTCCTGCAAACAAAGACTGGCCGAGCTAACCAGGGCTGCCCCTGGAAGTGGGAGGTGCCCTTCCCGCAAGAACTCAGTTTATTTAAGTTTTGGTTGCAGCTCAGCTGCTCACTGTGCTGGTGCTGTTTTGCCTCATTTCCCAATCCGGATGCAGACTTTATGGGACAAGGTTAACTTTCAAAAGTGAAATCCAAGGTCCGGAGGCATCTCCAAAGGATGCCCCTGCTGCTTCAGAGATTTTCTACGTGGTGTCGATCAGCTGGCCAAGGACAGTTTTTTAACGTTTGACGTTTCAGGAATGCACAGTAGTTTGGCCCCTGATTGAAACGGCAATGCTCGGGTATCTGCTTCAAGAAACAACAGACTATTTATCCTCTGTCATGTTCAAGGATGCCAAGAGAAGTGTAACACACCCACAGCGAGTTCTCTATCGCCTTCACGTCTGTCTGTCTCTAAAAGAGCAGTTTTACTCCCTTTATGGACGAAGACTTATTCTCACAAACTGAGAGACACGGTGCCAGCCACACTAATTTCTGTTGGTTTCTTTTTTAAAAGAGCCAAGCGAAACAATTTTACTCCAAAAATATTCCTGCTAGAAAGCCCCTCCTCTGCAGGTCTGCCCACAGAGGGATTTCCCACCCTGCCTGTGCTCCCAGTTTGCTCAGGGCGCCCGAGCACCTCGCTTCCCTCCAACAAGTGAGGAGAGGAAGAAACTGGATGGCGTTATCCCGCAACGTGTCCCTGCCAAGTCACTTAACTTCAAGAGGCCACGTTTGGGTTTTGCTTCGAGGGCAACCCGGGGCTGGTGTCAGGCCAAGGGAAAAGCACGTCTCTACTGTGAGTAGAAAGGAATAATCCATTTTCTCCATCCACCATCACACCACGAGGCAGGCAAGTCACGAGAAGCAGGTGGGCACCAATGCGTGTACCCACAAAAAACGCAAGAAAGAGAGAGCAGAGAAGGAAAATCTGAATTATTACCAAAGGGAAATTCTTTATTCTGCTGCCGAGGACCCCAAGTCTGGGATTTCATTCTTTATATACATGAAGGAGAGCTGGTATTCCTGGAAAGGTCAGCTTTTCCCACGGGCCTGCTTACAGCATGCCAGCTGAAGGAATACGGTCCTCAGCACTAACCTTCCCTCGTCTATTTGAACTGAACAACTGGTGGACAACTCCAAAAGGAAATAATGACTTACTTTTAAATCTTGGATCTCCAGAGTTGTGAGTCAAGGGGTGCAACCCGAGAACCTGGCTGACTGATGTTTCTGTATGTGGTGTTTTACTTCTAAGCCTGCGCAGGCTTGTCAGTCTGATTTTAAAGGTGTGTAGTCTTTAAATGAGGGAAAAAAAAAAAAAAAAAAGAAAAAACAAACAAATAAAGAAATGGCTAATTTTTGTCTGCAGTTACGGAGGAAGATTCCCAGGAGGAACTAAAAAAGTTCGGGATTTGGGGAGGAAAGGAGATGCAGTCCTGATGCATTTTGCATTTTATCAGGACTTTTTCACCTTCTCGACTACTTATAGAGAACTGACATAAAGAACGATGTGTAACAGAGCCACAGCCCTTATAAAGATCACTCCACCGTTGCTCCACTTTTAATAAAGCTGTATGAACGCGACACGTGCTGATGTGCAGTCACTTCCCGTTGCGTTTACAGTGCCAGGTTCAGTAGCTGGACTTGCCGGCGCTCTCAATATCAGTGTCTCTCCCCAGAAGGCAGCCGTGTACATAGTTTACAGACACTTTGACATTTCTTTTTATGAGGAAAGGGGGAGCCTTTCGCAGAAATAGCTATTTATGACACCTATTTGCCCAGATAGACAAGATCTAGACCAAGCTGCTGCAGCTGGGTGACTTCCACCTTTGTTGTGTGGTCATCCACCCCTAGGAAATGAAACGGGAAAACTCCTAAAGCTGTGTGTTACTTTTAGAGGCTCTTGCACTAGAGACGGTCTCAGTTTAGATTAAGAGAATGTTACAGTGAATTATGTGCAAATTGATGTTTCTCCCAAATACCAGAGCCAGCTTCACCCACTGAAACCCCACCCTCTCTTCCCTGTGATCTAGTGCTGTGATGTGCGATGTTTTTTTGCATGTACATTTGAAAATAAAAAAAAAAAAAAAAAAAAAGCAAACTGTAAGTGGAAATCTGAAGCTTGCCTCAGCCACGGTCAGACAAACTGCACGCACGAGCAGTCGGCCGGCTCCCTGCAGACCCACAAAGGTTGGCCTGAGCTTCTCAGGAGGACGGCCCATCGTTACCTTTCCCAGGAACCAGGCGTCCTGGAGCAAAGGGGCAACTAGTGCTGGTGGCTGTTCGTACCTTAACGGAGTCAGCAAACCCAATAGCAGGAGGCACAGCTAGTTGCAAGCGGAACGCAAATAAATAAATACGGTGAAGAGCTATGCTAGACCTCGAGCTACTCATGCGAAGGAGCCTGATGGCAACCGGAGTTCAAGTGCGAGAGCCAGTGATGAAATTCATACCCCATAGCCGAGGAAAGAAACAACTCCTTGTTAGGTTGCAGGTGCTCTCCAGTTTTTGAGTCCTGATTCTGCCTGGAATGAGCAGAAATCAGAAAGGTGGACGCCAGCACGGCAGCTGACAGAGCCCAAAAGCTGTCAGGCTTGCCAAGCAAGTCCCGCTGCTTCTCCTGCCAAAGGCCAGAGCTGCTTCGAGCACGAGGGCCCCGTGCCAGAGCTCAGCGCCTGCCCGTGAACCGCCTCCCAACCACGTCTTGCAGCTGGAAGTCTTCTTGCAGTGACAGGAGACTTGGGGAGACAGCGCCGGGGAGCGCCGGCGAGAGGCAGAAATTGCTTTGTGCACGTACGCAGAGGGGATCTGACCCTTCAGCAACCGGGGGGTGTCAGCGTGCACCCCAAAGCACCTATGGCCATCGTGAATTAAGCCTCACGGCTATCAAAGGAGTTGGGGAATGTGTACTTGAGAGGAAATAGCAGAAAGAGGCTAAGCTCGCTCGGCAGCAGAGTGAAGAATAGAATCACTCACACCTGGGGCAACACCCACAGGTTTGGTTTCCTCTTTTTGCTCCGCATGGTCAAGAGACAGAACAATCGCTCACACGGAGCAGCGAGGTGCAGGTCCTCGGCCGTGACAATCCAACCCATTTGCTGAGAAGGAGGATTTGGGAATGCCCACTGCTCTCTGAAATGCCCAACGTTTCTCTCCTGGCTTTGCAGGCAGGAGGATAAAGGTGAATAAAAGCCAGTCGAGGTGACAGACTGACCACGAGATGAAAAACGCTCCCCTCTGCCCACACAATTTCCCTCGTGCTCGTGAGTGACTCAAAAAATCATCTGGACGACAGCCAAGGAAAGCAAATGTGTGTGTGAATGGAATGTGGCTCCGTACAGCGCTCTGCCCTCGACAGTTGCCCATTTCAGACCCAGGCCTGCCAGCAGCACTAAATCTCTCCCTGTGACTGCAAACACCAAAGGAACACGCTGATTTATGGTTCCTTTAAGTAAGAGAAGCAGAGTGTAAAACGAGAATATTTTCTGGATGAAAAATTAAAGAGATGTTTTTGTTAGTTCCTCATTCTAGGATCATGTGTAATTTACCTTATTGGTTTTAAAGTTCCACTTGAAAGGAAAAGTGACATCAACAGGAGTTAAAGCAACAGGCTGAAAAAAGTCCCGACACACTTAACTTCACATTCTGAGAGATCTAAACCAAGAAGAAATGGAGGAAAAACAAAGCAGAGAATTAACTAACCTAATGATCCTTGGCTTTCTCTTAGTTAGGACTTCAGAACTCCTTGCATGCATTAATTAATTATCCCTCATTACTCCCCCAGCCCAGTAGGTGTTATTTATTTCAGAGGTGAGTAAAAAGACACAGAACATGTCACGACTAGCTTCCAAGGCCACACAGAAAGACAGTGGGCAAGTTAAAACCGAAAAAAACCTGACATCCAGTTTGCTTACCTACCAGCCCAAATGCACGTTTGCCTGGAAACAAGAGTCGAGAATAATTAAAAGGGGAGAAAACACAGGACTGGAAGATAGAAACCAAGCAGAGAATGGCAAAACCCGTGCTGGAAGACAAGAAACAGAAGGACTAGTGACACAAAGAGACTCGTGTGAACGAAGGATCCTTTACAATAATTAACCCCGAAGCGAGAAGGCCCACACAGGTCTGACGCTGCTTTCTTACCAGCTCTCAACCACCTTAGAACTTGCTCCTTTGGGTTCTTCTCCTTGGTACTGCAGGGCTCTAGTGTTTATTTCTGGTCTGGTTTATGTTTGGGAGGATGCAAGAGGACCAACCTATCCAAATCCTGCTCTATTTCTTTTTTTTTTTTTTTTTTTTCCCTGTGTCTCCCACTCTGGGAAATGCAGGCTTATTCACTTATTGATTTCAGCCACTTGGCATTAATTTAGCTGAATCTCTTTGCAGCCTCTGGAGATAAAGCTGAACCTACTGGTTTGATTGACTGCCTGAGGACTTTTTTCCCTGGTTCAGCTTTATGCCAGTAACCACCCTAACAGCTTCCCGCACTTGCTTCCATGAGCCTGTCCTAATCAAACCAAGAGGTCTGAGACGGTATCACAATCCTGTGGTACGAGAAATGAAGAGAATGCTTCCTGGGCTCCTAACTCTTGTTTAATTTGCAGGTTTTCAGAGGTCTCCCTTGCCAGTTTACACCTTGTGAAAGGTACTAGAGGAACCGATGCTCTTTCAGCTTTTATTGCTAAATACTGTGACAGGACCAAACAAACAGCTGGATTTGGAAATACCAGCTTTTCACGGCACTCACAGGGACATTTCCTTACCCTGTGTAGCCAACTTTGCTGCTACCACACATCCAAGCAGGTCAGGTCCACAGCCCTTCCCGTGTTTGCCAATGCCAGGAATAGCTCTAGTTGCCACTCGGATTTTATTCTGGCAATCAGCAAGAGCAGGCAAGAGCAGAAAGCTGCAGAACTCCTGCTCCATGCTCCTCACTTAGAGGTCTCAGGCCTCTCTGCCTAAGGGAGAATTAAACTGATTAATCATGCAGTGCTGCACATGCAGCTACAGATTCCATCAAGGCTAAGAGGAAAGCAAGAGGATACTTCCTGGCTGCTTCTAGCTCACCCAGCAGAAGGAAAGAAAATTGTTGGTATTCCTTCTACTTTTCACAAAGGAATTTGCCAAATCTGCCAGGGCTCCAAGTTGACTGAATCTAGAAACTTTTCCAAGGGAGCTGGTAAACTGAGGAAGGCAAC